TACCTTCATGAATTTGAAAACAAAGAAGTAAAAGAAGAATAACGATTAACACTGAATCAGTCACCTATTAAACTAAAATCTTTGTGCCAGATTTTTCTGTATACGACAAGGTACTTGTGGTGCCGACTTGTTCACTCGGGCTTCTAGACCGAGAGAAGCCTCATCTCAAAACTTTCTTGCTATGTAAAAAGAACACCTAGATAGCAAACGAAAAGTAAGGAAAGGTACACCACTATGTACCCATAGGATAGAAATGCATAGCGGAGACGATTTTGACATAAAAGTCGTTATCCTCGCACGGGATGCTGAAACACCAATGCGCAAACTCCTCGAGGCTTTTTGAATAAATGGCAAAAATCCTACAATGAATAGTAGGAAGGAATGCCCCGAGATCACACGTGATTTCGCCCCTTCGCGCCGATCGTTGATGTGAGGTGGTGCGATCGTCACCCATATGAGACTCTGAGTGGCTGTTCTTCCACGGTGGAAGACAGGTGAAAAAAGCGGTAAGTTTTTCGAGAAGCCGTAGATCTTGTAATTATCGTTTGGATTTTCATCCTTCTGTTTGTGCTGCTGAAGCGTTTGACCTAGTGAGTTGCGTATTAGTGTACCCTTCCATGCTCTGGAGAAGGCGATTCTGCCGAAATGTTAGCTATGGTTGTGTTGTATGTGTGTCATACTATGGGAGTAAACGTATACTGTTTAACAACCTCGCGATTGCTGAGGAAGAAAACGACGATTCTACAAACCAATGCCGAAGTTAATAGAAAGTCGGTCCTGGGTACCATTTCTTTGCTATGCTTTTTCTCCACATAGAACGACCGATCAATATTCGTAAGCGTTTTTACTGCCTTCTGGCTCAAAATCAATGAAACGTCAATAAACCCCTAGGACGGCTTAGACTTTTCTGTGGCGTGCTTGCACATCATTGTTGAGTTGTTCTTCTTATCGTTGATTTATTTACGAGACTGGTAATTTCCTGCCAAGCTGAATGTTCTTGAAGTAAATAGCCGACGGAGCCATTTAATTAAAGAAAAACACATTTTTTCCTTGCAGAAGTGGCAAGTGGTCATTTCGTTTCTCCCCTGAAGACAAAAATACTAGCGCTCTTAAGTAGTTATGGTTATTTTTCTGAATACAATAAAGCAAAAAGTTAAAATGCTTACAAACGAAGTGTAAGAACTGGAAAGAGAGAAGATTGATCGATATGGAAAAGTAGAAAGATAAAATATAAAAATAATTTCGCCTCTATCTTGAGGGTGTAAAACGAAATTCAAGATAACTGTAAGAACTAATTGATAATGCACTTATAATAGATGAAGAGCAAGGTGTTTGATGTTGGTCAATACATCATGAATGCACCATGCATTCGACTCCATTCGTCATCCAGTAGAGGTGATTGGATGCATTTATCGCCTATACGATATAATGAAATAGGCTATCGATGTGTCCAGTCAGTGTTTTTATCCTCACAGACAACTCTGAGACCAATTTGCCGACCGCAGAGGATTAGATCGCCTGATTGGCCATCGATTACGGGGTCGAACTGATGACACTGTGAATTGCAGGACACTTTTTATCCATTCCACTGCACGTACTCCAAAGCCAGCGTAGTAGTATAAATCAAACATATTTTAAATGTTTAGTGAATATGATCCTCTTAACGATTTATCGCCTCATTGCGGCTGAGAAGTGTTCCTGGGTGTCGGACTGCGATTTACAGGTGGATTCATTTCCCGGCCGGATCTCCCAAGCAGAGCACTTCCATCAGGAATCACAGCTAGAAGTGAACCATTACCAGGAACCACCACCATTCTGGAATCAAACTAGTCGCATGGTGACAAATTTCCCTCTCTTCCACCAGGGTGACGATTGCCTGTGCTGGTGACAACCTTAGAGCAGACTTTGACCAAGTTGACCTCGAGACTCCAGGAAAACACGTGGCTAAACCAGCAAAACTCCGAAAAAAGGAGAATATGCTGGGGCCCCCATAACCAGTGAGGATGGGCCGCCGAAGTACCTAAGAGGTATTCAACTAACTGAATATGATAAACATTTTGAAGAACAAATCGTACAGAAAGCATGAGCGGCTCACAGGTTGCCATTAGTTCTCTCGATGAAACTACCGACTATCTTACAAAACGAGACCTCTACAAGTTCATGCAGTCTTCTCAGTCATTTTCCAGGAATTGTGATACCCGATTTAGCTCCAGAATATTATAATCACTCAAAACGGTACATAATTAAGAACAAATCCGCGAAAACCCGTCACAACACGGAATCCGCAGTTATTATTTGATAACGAAAACTTTGCTAAAGACTGAGAGAACAGACCGAAAATAAATATTTGTTAAATGGAAATGTACGATAAATGTCTCTGTTGAAGATCTGGGAACTTCATAGCAAAAATTTTTCCAGATCCCAGGGATAACCACTGTCAACCCGTATTCAGCATGTCAGTGAGGACTCCTGGCAACACATCTTCACGTAGCTGAACACTATCGTTTTCACGGATGATGGTTGCAAAGTGGGGAACCCTATCGAAGCAACGCTCAAGACCACTCGATATGTGAAGCAAGCCGTCTAAAAACTGCTTAAGTAAAAATGACCATATTTCAAAACTAACTTTCCTTTAACCTCGGTATTACTAATCAACTTCGATAAGGTTTCGAGCAGGTGGCTCTCTGAGGGAAACCTAACTCGCGACGAGGGCAGTCTCCATATCGAGACGAAAAACAAGCGTGGACCACCGACTAGGACCATCGGCTCTGATGAAGACGAAGACGTGGAAACGTTAGCAGAAAATAAATATCTTTATCATCCTCGTGTACGCTCATCAAAGAAAGAATAATAATGACCAGTTAAAATTAGTGACGTAGAGCTCACCTTAATCAAATTGATCACGACGCACTTTGATTTTCTATCTATTTGGTCTTGTAGCTCCAAATGAAAAAAGGACTCACGAAATTCCCACCCCTCTAATCAAAAAAAGAAAACCTAGAACTGAACAGTTCTATCCGTAGATGCATCGTCGATGCTTCGCATTTCGCTCTCGGTCGAGGAAGTTTTTCATCTCTACAAGAACGAACTGTTATAATTTAGTTCGTATTTTTTTGAGCAAACGCGAGGTGTTATTGTTCTTTGTTCACGATTAAGCTGACGTTTCGGCGAATTTCGCCTTCTTCAGAGCCTGGAAAGGTCAAGTTGATAGCAACTCACTCGGCCAGACGCCTCCATAACCAAACAAAGAAACCCCAAACCAAGATTTCAATCACTTTGAACACAGCTTTGCACACTCACCGCTTTCTATGAGGTCTCCACTAAGTATGTCACGTAGAGACCAACCGCACAGAAATCACGTGGAAGTATAATGTGCCTCTCACATCAGAAAAGCAGTTATAATTTAATTGTTAATTTTTATTATAAATAAATATAATATAAATAAATATATAAATAATTTTGTTATAATTTAGATGTTGGGGTAGAAGATATTTTAAGCAGTCGGTGTATTGCATTGTTCCTGACAATGAATACTAATCACAGGAACCTGAAAGATCCCTAGCTGCAAAGCGACAATCGTATTTCTTGTTCACAACGACAAGCGGTAATTGGTGGAATCTGTTTGTTCCTAGGGAATCCCTGGCACTGCTAGCTTGTATGAGCAGCCATACTCGACGAACACTCAACATTTCGCCGAAGAGAGAAGACGATAAATCCTCATCCAAGTACGGAACTTACGCAAGAACCCAACCACTTATACTGATGATGGTGCTTCTAAGACGACGAAACTAATTGAGTTTCTTCGGTAAGCAGGTAATTTCTCTATACAGCTAGCTGTTCAGCTCTTTCTATCCCTGTGCAGCATTATCCTCTTTATGGTCTCACCGTTTTTCACTATTATCCTCACACCACACTGATTACCGACCATGGATACTAAGCACTGGGCAGCGGAGACCCTGAATTATCTATGGTCCCAATGTATTACTCTGTGCAGCTGCTATCCATCAACTTAAATACTTACAACAAATAAACGGTAGGTGTTTAAATGAAGCTGTTTGTTATGCGAATACAAATTTATTCGTTAAGTTTCATCTGCTAGGGTTATGAAAATGTTTGGCTGAGTAGATCACATCTCAATTTGACCTTCCCAGGCTCTGAGGAAGGCGAAATCCGCCGAAACGTCAGCTTATTCGTGAATAAAGAATAATAACACCTCGCGTTTGCACAACAAAAATACGAAGAATTACTTGATCAATGCCGAGGTTAATAGAAAGTCGGTCGTGGGAGTTAAGGATGGCACATTTCGTAGATATTTCTGGATCTGTCAAATAGAAATATTTTTATTTTATTTTCTTTATCTAATTCTCTAATTTTTCTCTTTCTTTCTCCTAATTTTTCTAAATTCTCTAATTATCTCTAATTCTTTATAGAAATATTTTTCATATTTAAAGGATAAAGGATGAAGCTCTCGGCGTCGATCAATCCCACTAGGGACGCGCGATACATTCGACTTCATTAAGCATCGATTGGAGGCCATTAAATGCATATCCGGCCTTTACAATGACCCGCCGTGGCCTACCGATGTATCGAGCCAGTGCTGCAATCCTCTCAGGCAAGTCTTGTACCAAGTTGCCGAACCCGGAGGGATAGAAGGCCAGGTGGACCATGGGTTCGGGGCCGATTTCATTCCATGTGTGTGTTGCAGGGCGCCACCGACCACTGCGCCACACGCGCCCATTTTTCATGTTTATCGCCTAATATTCTTAATACCGGTACAGGAACTAGTAAGTAATCTCCGCATCAAAGAATGAGATAAATTGTAGTCCAGAAAGTTTATTGCAATGAATTATTGTCAGAAACACTCAGGCAACAGAATATTTTACTTCCTTAGTACATTTTCAAATAAATTTAACGCACATAAGAGATTTCAATAGGAGGAAACCGGTGCTTTTTAAGTGGACCTGTGAAAAAGTGCCGAACGTCAGACGCTCAGGATGTGTTCACTCTGCGAACTGATTACGATGGCGCAGATCCTCCAGTACCTCTTCAGGAGAAATGCCGAGACGTTCACCGGCTCTCAGTACTTCCGATAATCGTTGTTCGATGACATGCAAAACTAAACAAACAAACTGAACTAAGGTCTTGAAGCGAGAAATAAAACCAAGGACGCAAACACCACCACTAACCACTCTATCATTTTATCACCAAACGTTAAGCTTAACATATTAACTACAGTCGTTGCACACGAAATGCACTATTTGACACAAAGATACATGATTTTACCGCTACCGTACATTCAAATCGGAACTCCAAACTGACGTTAGCTTTTTAATTCAGCTTCATAAAAGCAGCAGTCAAAATCACTTCCAAATATATCTCTAAACAACCACACAATCCCCAAAGGTTTGTGTAGATTCACTACGCAACTGTTAATGAATCATTTTGCCGTCAAATATAGTGTATCGTGTGCAGTCGACTTGCCTCATGCGCTTTCATTTTAACACATTGACGTCTGAGAGTGTGAATAATGTAAAACATGATTATAAGGTTTGAAAGGAAAAACTTCACAAGAAAGAACTCGTTGTCGTCAGTGTGGTAAAATAGCGAATTAAAAATATTTCAGTCTGTTTAAGAATCAATCTCGCTTACATAGGCACTCATTGTCAGTTTCTCATGCCGTCCAGCTCCCACAAATCTCAAACAACCAGCTAGATATGAGCGAAAAAATGACGGGTAAGGGCAAAATATGTAACTGCATAAATGGCGATGACGACCAGGAAGCATGCACGAGGTCCATCGGAGCAGATTTACTGTAGGCCAGTTTCAAATAAAGTGAAAAAAAATACGTTCGTTTTTTTTCACGACACAAGAGAAAGAATTCCACAATTATTTATTACTACTATTCCATAATATCTGGTGATCATAACCAAATTAGATGGTAAACGCCTGCGCCCTGACCGCGTCGCCTAACTCACTGCATTGATCTTATCTGTACGAGAAACCTGAAAGATTCCGTGTTAGACCATATTATCCAAGTTCAATCCAATTCATTAATGTAATTGACCCGATCCCACTCAAAAGTCGAATATTCGATCATTTAATCGATTTGCTCGAAAAATTACCCCTGGAATATACATGTATGATGTGACTGCTTTTCTTGCAGTTCAATTAATTAATTCTTTATACTCTTGTTGAGCAAACACGAGGTGTTAGCTGACCCTTTATTGAAGGAAAGGCTGTCGTTTCAACGGATTTCGTCTTCCTCAGACCTTGGAAAAGTCAAGTTCGATGGAATCTACTCAGCCGAACACCTCCACGACCAAACAGGAAAAAGTGTTTAAGGAAAAGAAAAGAAAAAACCATAGGTGTTTGTTTGGCTAGATTGCGATCGACTTGACCTTTTAAGGCTTTGAGGAAGGCGAGATCCGCCGGAACGCGAGCTTTTCCGTCAATAAAGAATAAAGTAACACCTCATGTTTGCTCAACAAGAGTATAAAGAACTATTGGATCAATGCCAAGGTTAACAGAAAGTCAGTCATTGGAATTACTGCAAAATGTACCAATGAATTAAGTAATTTCGTCTTTGAACCAATGTTTAGTTGGACAAATAAAACCAACTAACAAAGATCGGAGCAACAAACATTTCTTAAGGGATCTTAGGTGATGAGTTTTTCAATAAATAAACAAAAACCAGGAAAGTAAACAAAATGCACAAGTAAACTCGAGAATCCCGAAGGCATTGATCAATGTAAGATTATCAACAATACGGTTACCTATCAACCAACTAGGATCACATTCATGACCTCATACGAGCAGCAATCTTGGTATTCGATTGGGAGTTTCACTAGCGAGGTTAACTTTAACGATAAAACAACAACTCTGGCAACTCATTTCATTATGTGAAAGTAGTCTTTCGCCATAATACTGTTTGATTATCAAGTGATTTTTTTCACGCTGATCGATTGGGCTAAAACAGTGATAACATTGTGTCCTATCTCCAGACTATATACCTCTTTTTTAAATTAGTCATTCATCTACGTTGTTTTGTGGTTATGGGAAGTTTTTCGTATCGCATAAGGGGATGATATCCCTAATGAGTTAAGCCCTCTTAAAGATTCCAGTACTCAAAGGTGGTCTGACGACATGGGTATTCTTATGTCGCACTGATTTTCTTCGCCACACCGATAACGCGACGCAGTTCTAAAGATAGCGCGTGACGAAATTCGATGTCGTCGTAAGTATTCATTGATTTCCTGACTGAACACGAATTGCCATAAAGAATACGAAAACAGGAGCAAAAGGAATTGTTTCAGCTATAAACCAGTGACTTGGTATAGGTGTTAGGAGCATGGGCATAACATCTAGGATTAGTCGGAGTGGGGTTAGAGTTGGAAGAAGTGCATCGCTACTAATGTGTTTCTTTACACTGGTTCATTTTTCCGCAAAGAGTTTTTGCATTGAACTTCGTATGTTTAATCGACGTCTTATTCAACACAGATATTGTGTTAGACGTAGCAGATGAAAAGTCTTCTCCGGAATCGGCAGCTTAGAAAGAATTTCTTCGCGGGCAAGTCCGTTTCGCAACGAAAGATTGTCGCCGATGAATAAAGTAACCGCCGCAAAGGCTGTTAACGGTAAACAGGATGCGTAGCTATTTCCCCCGTTGTACTTGAGCACAGAATCTCGACATTTACGGAAGACATTTCAGTTAAGATAAGACGATAAGCCATTTAACAGACTTGTTTAGACGGGCCCTGTGTTCACAGAATATGCGTTCATCAATCTGCTTTAACACAATTTGTCTTAAGAAATAGTCATCAAGTTCACAACCGAAGTTATGGACATTATGCTCAGATTTCGAAGTTTTTTTTATTCCTTTATTCTATTTGACCTGTCTTCACATCTACTGTGCAAATCCGAGCACTTCTCACATTCAACTCGTTTCCTCGCACCCACTCTCCACGAAGATCTTCCAACTTTATTCCAGTTGGATTGCAAAGCGTGATTCTTTCCCAGAGAAGTCCGGTACCAAATTCCCGAACCCGGAGGGATGAGAGGCCTAGTTGGCCTGGAGTGGAATCGAACCAGCGCCATGCTCTTGATGACGGGCATCACTACCACTGTGCTATCCGTTCCCTGATTTTGCAGTTTCCATTTTATGACACAATATGGCTGCAATTCTTACCTGCAATCAAAAATCTTTAAATAGAACTTAGTACTTTAAATGCGTTGAATTCTTTGCTAGAGGCTTGCACTTACTACCAAAAAGCTGCACTTGGCATGATGTACTTTCGCGATACCTAAACATGCTGAACAATAATGCGTCCTACAATAGCCGCATTAGTGCTTTATCATTGCCCCAGAACATACATATATGGCCGTCATGCCCTTGGTCCAATGATATCTCTTTCTTCAAGGAAATGAAAAATCAGCGCTCTGGAAGCGTTCACATTTCCAAGGTTAGGCGAATAGAAATGCATGTTCAAGTCGTTCAAAAAGTTTTCGAGAAAGTGCTCACTGTAGATCTCTCATGCGTCCACTAAATACGTATAAGTGACCAAGCAGAAGTAGAACTGCAAGTTCAGTTAGCGTATTTATAAGTAAATTTCCCCAGTTACAGTTTTCAACAACCTACAGTTCTCATGAGATGAGCAATGCGATCGCATCATGAATTGTGGACGCCCTGATAATGTTCCTCCCATTCCTCCTACTTTTTTCGTCTTGGTGCCAATAAAAGGACTCGCTCTTTGCAGTAAGTTTTCAACCAAGGCAAGACGTAGACAGAGATACCTTCCTTCATCGAACAAATCGTATAAAGGCCTTATCAGTACAGACTAAGCCAAATATCCACTTATGGAGAAACCAGTATCAGTATTCACCAGAATTTCACAAGCGTAGCCAACTTTCGAATTCTAAAATTGTGCCGGCAGAAAAGAACTTTGGTTCTAAACGCCATCAGGAATTCTTCAACATAGGAGCATTTCCCAGATTTACATTCTGCCGAAATACCTACTGTCTAGTTCGATAATGGTCTACTTTTCTACAAGTTACCTCATTGGTTGTCCATGGTATTTTTGGCAAAATGGAGGTCAGTCTAAAAGCTTCGAAATCCACCACTTCCTCAGAAGGACTGGAACTCTAGTAATTCCTCAACTGTAGCTGTATAATAAATCCTATCTTTTGATAGAAACCGATGAATTCTTTCAGCACTTTAAAACTTGTTGATTCTCGCAACACATTGTGCTGCTGTCCTTACCTACTCCCTTCTTTCACAAACAGTTTCCAAATGTCAGTCATTAGCAATTCATAGAATTGTTGGTCGTTGATATGGGCTCCGTGCAAGGAAACACTGTAATTATCGAGAACTTATCCATGGCATTCGAATAGCCAGCGGAGTCTATATGAGAAGTATAATAGCTGTAATCGTGTGAAAAATATTGATGTGGACTGCAAGAGTAATGTGCCTGAATAATGGACTATAGTGAAATAATTTTTTACGTAAATCATGTTTCTTGTATTGCGTAGATCCCAGCACTTCTTGCACTCCATTTGTTTCTTCTTATCCATACTCCATGTTGATCCTTGGACTGGTGTGTGCATTTCTGGAGACCTTTGATCTACTTTATGAATGTCGTTGAATGTTGGTCGGGTCGATTCTCCCTCCCCAAAAATGATCCCGCGATAGCCGTTCTAGAGCATTCTTAGGTCTGGTTGACCGCAGCGAACCTCCAATTCTGACGAATTACGAACTCCCGACTCCAAAGGGACGGCAGACTTGGTTTACCTAGGGTGAAGAATCTTGTCCACAATGCTGAACTGCGCCGCTACCCTTACACTACCCGTGCCCCATAGCGAAATATAATAGTAAATAACACGGTTCACACTTAGAGTGATAAGTATAAGGATCTTCCATAACTCCTTCATGTTCTCAACACCTCAAACTCTGTAGTTTTTTCGAAAACTACGATATATTACAGAAAACCTTCATTAAAACCCAGAAATGTTCATTACGTTCTGCTTGCTGACACCTTTAAATGTTTGACGAGCTAGACCAAATCCATAACCAATATGAAATTGGGCGACGGCCAACATGGCACCCACGCAGAGTTAATTAAGCAGCGGGCGTTAGATGTTAAGACCCAACTAATCTCTATAAACCACGAAATCATTCGTTGGTCTTTCTACCCAGGTAATTATTATTTTAGACCTTTTTTCGTACCAAATTTTGGCCTTGTCTCAGGTTTCAATGTTGCTAAAAATTCAACGTTATTAATCACCGTGATGAATACTTGTAAGACTTAAATGAGTAATTATAAATTATCACAGAATAACTGGAAATGTTTTCATAAAGTTTAGAAAAAGATGTTTTGGCATGAGAAAATATCATTAGTCGGTTATCTCTGAAAGAAAAAGCAAACCGAAGAGCTGCTAGAACAACCGAAATTTTCCGTTGGCTTCAAAACAACATGAAACACGTCCCAACAAATTATTTTTCATAATAAAAGACAAAGAGTAAAGCTCTCAACGTTGATCAATCCACGAGGGATGCGCCATGCATTCGATTTCATTAAGCATCGTTTGGAGGTGATTAAATGCATGTCTAGCCTTTACAATGACTCGCGGTGGCCTATCGGTGTATCTAGCCAGTGCTGCTATCCTCCCAGACAAGTCTGGTACCAATGTGCCGACCCCGGAGGAATGGAAGGCTTGGCGGGCCATGGGCGCGGGGATCGATTCCACATGTGTGTTTCAGGGCGCGTCCGACCACTGGACCACGCTCGCCGAAGACACCAGAATGGAATAG